GRTMGCGCMTAAAGTCCTGACTCCTCCAGAGCAGGATTCTTACATCAAAGTTTGATGTCTTAAATATATTGCTCTGTAGGAAGCTACCGAGGACCCCGAGAAACAGGTTATTAATAATAATATTTTTCTTGCTGTTTTGAAAACAAATTATTCCATGTCATTTAGCAATTATTCATTGAGGTGGAAGTAATCAGGGGTGGACTTTTAGCGAGTGAGGCCAATATCCACCTATTTCACCTATGCTGAGGTGAATAATTGTTTTAGTACAGTCCAAAAAAAAACCCTAAAATATCTAAATGTTTTCTGTCAATATACCAGAAATGAATCGGAAATTCAACTCTTAACATGCTATTTTATCTTTTGGCTTCTCGGATATGAATAGTACATGCCATTAACTTCCAATCTAGCCAATCAGCGAGTATTAAAAGCACCACTGATTTAACTAAGTATGTGATGTTTTCTAATACGTATTAGCATTGATTTAGTTATATCGAGTATCTTAGAATTTGTGCAAATGAGACTTTTTCCTGATTTTATTATTTTCTAATTCGTAATTACATTTCTTCAAACTTGCACTTCATTTTTTCGAAGGCGTGAAATTGTTTTTCTCTATTCGAACATGCTAAGAGCGATAGTCATTAAAATATTGGACCCGGTGACATGCTCCGTCACTACGATTCAATTCCTTTGGAAATGCAAAAATGCAAAAAAATAATCAAAAGAAACAAAACAAAAATTGAAGGACGTATGGTTAACTTCATTACTTGAGGAAGAATTAGGGAGGATCTGTGTGAACATATTCGAAGATGCGTTTTGAAAGATTTGGCTCTATCTGTTTGAACCTCTGTCAACAGGCTACAACCTTTAACTTGAAGGCAATAATTAAAAATGAAAATCACTTTTGATTGAAATGTTGTTGCAAAGAATTCCCTATCATATAACATCAAGTGATTTACAGGCTTTTATGAAAAAGAAACGATCATAAAGTACAAAAGTTATACATGTATGTATAAAAACCAACTCGAGGAGGAGCTCGACCTACCAGAACTTGCTTACTTTGTAAGATGTATCCTTGTCACACAAGTAGAAAAACAGACCAATGAGCTTGAACTTGCATCATGCCATACACATTAGCAAAAAAATTACATGAATGTTCTGTGTCTTTAAGCTGCTGCACTTTTAAGACTTAGCTGTATGGTTTTACTCCTTATCAGAGGAAACTAAACTTTTAACAGCATGATTCTGACATTCGAGGAAGTTGGATCCAGCTCTCTTCCACCATTTAACCACCTTTACTACACACCTTATTTATTCTGGATGCATTTCCAAGCTAGTGCAATCCTCGCCATCATGATGGTCTTTGTCTGGGTCGTGGTGGTCTTTGTCTGGGTGGGCAGCGTACATTGTCACGATAGGGATCACGGGAAGGTGTTGGAAATTGTTTCGGTCTGCATGATAACAACATATCCATTTTTACAGTGTGTTCCGTTGGCAGTGTACCAGTCATCAAAGCCATTTCGCCCGTAAATGATGATTCCGCCCTACTTATGACAACTTCCACTGTATGGGTTCGATTTACACGAAATGTGAATCGTGCGAACCTCGAAACGCCTGTCATTTCTATTTGGTAAGAAGACTGTGAAGTGTTCACCTTCCCTCTCTAGAGAGGCTAATTAGCCATTTCAAATGTAATATTTATACAAATTAAACGGTTTGTGAGGGCGAGGAGACCTTCAAAAAACTACCAGGCTTATAGTAAGTTTACACTACGTAGACAAAGGTGGAAATTCAGTGTATTGAGCACTGAAAATCAAAACGAAATACCACCTTTTTCAAAAATTCAACCATCCACGTGCCACTTTTTCCAAAAATTAATTCCTGTCTTCATTCAGCGAAGCGTAAGTTTAAACAACATTCTTTATCGGTATGATCTGGGAAAATGACGAAAGACAGGGACAATCACGGTATTCGTAATTAATCTCTGTGTTTTTTTCTAGTTGAAATGAGCGTAATGTTTTGCAATTTGAGATATTTAACAAACTTACATTTCTACCAACCGCATCATCCTCCCCCACTTCAACCATCTCTCCCCCCACCCAATCATCTTCTGCCCCAATAAGCTTGCCCCCCACCAAATCACCTTTCCCCCAGTCCAATCATCCTATTCCTTACTCCCCACCCAATCACCTTTCCCCGAGTCCAATCATCCTCTACCTTACCCCCCACCAATTCTCTTCCCCCAGTCCAATCATCCTCTTCCTTTCCCCTTACCCAATCACCTTTCCCCCAGTCCAATCATCCACTACCTTACCTCCCACCCAATCACCCTCTTCCTTGCCACCCACCCAATCCCCCATCCCCCAGTCCAATCATCCTCTTCCTTACCCCCACCCAATCACCTTTCCCCCAGTCCAATCATCCTCTTCCTTGCCACCCACACAATCACCCTTCCCCCAGTCCAATCATCCTCTTCCTTACCCCCCACCCAATCACCCTTCCCCCAGTCCAATCATCCTCTTCCTTACCCCCCACCCAATCACCCTTCCCCCAGTCCAATCATCCTCTTCCTTACGCCCCACTCAATCACCTTTCCCCCAGTCCAATCATCATCTTCCTTACCCCCCCACCCAATCACCTTTCGCCCAGTCCAATTATCCTCTTCCTTGCCCCTACCAAATCACCTTTCCCCCAGTCTAATCATCCTCTCCCTTATCCCCACCCAATCACCTTTCCCCCAGTCCAATCATCCTCTTCCTTACCCCCCACCCAATCACCTTTCCCCCAGTCCAATCATCCTCTCTCTTACCCCCCACCCAATCACCTTTCCCCCAGTCCAATCATCCTCT